ATCCATAAATTTATTAGCATGACTTCCTCTTGCAAATTGCAACTGCCAGCCCTAAAGATATATTTTTTAACACACCTCTGCTCGTATCAGCCTCAAGAATAACTTTTCGTCTTGTTTTATCAAACCCTATAGGCGAGTGTGCCAAGACGTTTGAACAATCGAAAGACAAAACTTCGGACAACAGCGACAATTCACACTCTTACCGGCAAGATCTCTATTACAATAAACCTGACGAGCACGTCCATATTCAACTTGAACCTGGGTCCGACTGCTTGGACCCACTGCGTCTAAAATTTCTTCAATGTGACTGCCGGATGATGAGTGACTGAAAGCAGGTGTTTGCCGACAATACTTTTGGTGGGGCTTTTCATAAGACTGCCTATTGCTAAAAGGAACCTCTCTTATAATTTTAGTGGTATATAGGTTTCCTTTATTAACCAATAGGAGTTGATCCAATAGTTTATTTAGCCTGCCGGCTTTCTTTTCGTTCTTTTCTGGCCTTCCTCAGACTTTTCACCTGCGTGCTCACTGAAATAAAATAATTACAATTGTCTTTAATTTCTGTCTATGTGTGCACTTATCCCACACCCAAAAGACCACTTGCTCACCCATGACTCTAATTCCTCTTTATCAATGAATCTGTAAGAACCCGGGATAGTTTTTGCAGACAGCCTCAAAAGAAAGCCCTCCCCTGCTTTTCTATCGTTTCTGGATTTACTAAAAGTTGATAATGTGTACAATATGCTAGTGAATTCCGCTCCCTTCTAGCACCAGTTTTTGTAAAAGATGAGAAGGTTTCTGATTTACTAGACTACGTTTGCTCGATATAATTAAATTTCGGGTTGTTTCGTTTATTCGTCACTCAGGACGCCCTAATCAAGGAATACTGCGTTTTGTGGGTTGTACGACTACATTAAAACTGATTCGATCTAGCATTACTGTTATTACTAAGAGTTCTTGCATAACAATATCCTTCTAAACCTTTTGCTCTAACTTGGTTTGACTCGGGTTTGATGCATTTAATAAATCACTGGAATTTTAAATTGTCTAAGTATGCTAGCGTTTTGTCAAATCCAGTGCTCTTAGTTGACTTGTCGTTATCTTTTTAGCAGATATAAAATTGTATTAATGTATA